GGAAAGCGGCAGCGGCGGCCGCCGCCTGGTGTTGGTGCTGGAGCTGGGGGCTCACAGGGGATCTCCGGTTCTGCTGTTGCTGCTGCTGTTGCTGCTGCTGAGGTAAATTCATCTGCGGCGGCGGCGGGGGGGCGGCGGCCGAGAAGGGGCTGCTGAAGGGCCCGGCGCAGGGGTTGTGAGGAGACACCGGCGAGAAGCTCTGGAAGAAAGCGGGGTTGATGGATGACGGGATCCCCGGGTAGAAGCTGGTCTCGGATTCCGGGCTCGGGGGCGGCATCGCGCTGATCTGCCCCCCGCCGCCGCCGCCGCCGCTGGAGACCGGAGGCTGCTGCGTCTGCTGCGGAGGCGGCGACGAGGTCTGCACCGACCAGGGGGTGCCGAAGCCGGGCAGCGGCGGAGGAGGAGGGGAAGCCGCCGAGGAGGAGCCGCCCCCGCTCTGGTGATGGGGGCTGGGGATCTCCGGGCTCTGCAGGCTGCTGAAGCCAGAGCCGAGCCCGCCGGGCAGGAGGTTCCCGGGGCTGCCCAGCAAGTGGCTGTTCGGGGGGGACTCCATGGGGGGCGGCTTGGCTCTCGCCTGCAGATGAGGAGGAGACGGAGGCGGATTCAGGCAGGAGGCGGCGGCGGCCACCCCCACATTGGGGTCGGCGGCCACCGATCCCCCCGGGCGGGAAGGGGCGAGCCGCTCCGACCCCCCCCTGTCCGCGCCGCCCTTGCGCTCGGCGGGGCCGAGGGGCCGGTGGTGCGGGTAGTCCCCGGTCCGCGGCGGCTCCGGGGGGTGAGCGCTGAGGAGCTGGAGCTGCTGCTGCTGCTGGTACTTGTCAGTGGGGTGGCTGAACTGCGGCGGCGGCGGCTGAGGGGGGTGGTGATGATAGTCGGGGGGGTGGTGGTTATTCAGGGGGTGGCTGCTGCCGAGCTGGGCTGGGCTGCTGAGCTGCTGCTTAAACTCTTTCCTCTTCTGGCTCAGCTGAGGAGGAGGAGGAGGAGGAGGCGGCGGCTGTTGCTGCTGCTGCGGTTGCTGCTTGTTTAAATCCTGGTGGGGGCTGAGACTGGGTTTAAAGTCAGAGGAGGGGTGGCCGGGAGGGGGGTGTCCTGATGCGGGGCTGCTGCCCAGCCTCTCGCTGCCTGCCTGCGGCTGCTGTGTCACCCCCAGGAGCAGCTCATCCTGCATGGTGCGGTGATGGGGCAGCCGAGGGGGGGAACGGAGGAGGGCGGCGGCGGCAGCGACCCGCCGGAGGAACCGGTTACAGCGGGTGAGAAGGGGCAGGAGGAGGAGGAATGAGAGGCGGCTGCCGGGGAGGGGAAGGAGCCGGTGGAGCCAGCGCCTCCTACACCCCAAGGGCGGGCTGGGGGGTGGCCGCCTGCGGGGAGCCCGAGGCGGTGATCCCCGGCACCGGCTCGGCGGAGAGGCGAACCGCCCCCCCCTCAACCCCGGGGGTCTGAGGAGACAAAGATAATTAACAATCCGGGGCGTGTGTGTGTGTAAACACCAGCCTATCGCAAAACACTATATATAAAAAAAAAGCCACTTTCTAGAATAAAGCCCTCTTCCTTGCCATAATCCCTACTCTACTGGTTTTAAAAATATCGGAGTTTTTTTTTTTTTTTATAATAAATAATGCTATTTTTATCAGGGCGTTATTTTGGGCTTTTTTTTTCTTTTTTTCTCCCTTCCTTTCCTGATCTCTCGGCACCCCCAGCGGGGCGGCCCTCACAGGGACCCGCTAAGATCACCCCGGACAGACCGTTCCCCCTCGACACACACCCCCCTCACGGTGAGGACTCCTCCGTCCGACCCCCGCCGCCGCACCGTAGCGCGGGTGGAGGCCGCGGGGCGCTCCAGGCCCGGCAGTGGCAGGGAAGGAGGCAGGCCGGCCGGCAGTATCCCCTACACGGCCCCGGTTCGGCTGCGGGTCCCCGCTCGAGCCCCCCCTGAGGCAACTCCCCCGCCCCCACTGCCGGCCGGGAGCCGGCTGCAACGCCCTTTATAAAGGCCGGAACATTCGTCATTATTACGTCAGAGCCACCACCCCCCTTTACCCGCCCGGCCCCGAGGTTGGGAATAAGCCGGCGGCTCTGCCCTCCCCGCCCTCATGAATAATGCATTAAGGCCGGGATCCCCGCCCCTTTGGCCTGTCCCAGCCGCCGCTCCCCAGGGCGGGGTGGGCGCTCGCGCTGGCCAACGGCTGCGCGCAGGGCCGCCGACGAGCCGGGTGGGCGCTACCACTTGAGCGTGAGGGGGGTGGGAAGGCGACAGCCTTTGAGTGACCCCCCCCGAAGAGCTGCTGGCCTTTTTGGGTGAAGAAAACATTCGCTGGGCCTCGCCGCCGTGCGTGCCATCAGCCTGGAATAAAACGATTTTATTTCGCTTTATTTCTCTCACCGCCGGCAGGGAGTGTGGGGGGGGTGAGGGTGGTTTCTCCCGCCGCCCGCGATCCCGTCAGGCACTCGCGCGTGGAGGCGGGCGCGCCCCGCCCCCTTGCCGCTCATTTGCATTGACGCAGGGCCGCGCGCTAAGGGGAGGGAGTGAGGAGGGTGCGCGCGTGGAGGCTCAGCGGGGGGAGCCCCGCCCCTGGGCACGCCCACTGCCTCCCCTCAGCGGGCGGGCAGCATGGCGGGCGGAGGGGTCCCCGCACCCGCACGGTTGGGGTCTCTCGCTGTCTCCTCACGGCACGACCGGGGTGACACAGCGGTGGCCTCCTGTGGAGGGGTGTCTCTGCCCGTGGGGCAGCGGAGCGTCTGGGTGAAGGCGGGTGGCTCAGTCACCCCTTCATCCGCCCCGATCCTGCCACTCGTTGGGTGGGCTCCTCAGAGACCCCCAAGAGCTGAGGCCAAGCCCGCTCTGAGGTGTGGTGGCACTGTGGTATTTCTTGGACAGATGATACTAAAGGTGGGGTTTTCCCCCTTTTCCAACTCGTGGAAGCACAGCTCCTGGCAACTGTTTAATGCAAACAAATAGTTGGGCAACTATAGATGTCATGCTGTTACGGATGTGGATGTCCCTGAAAAGACTAAAATAAGCGAGCCTTTGTGCTCCGGGAAAGCTGTAGTTCGGCAGTGAGAGAATTAATAGGTGGCTATTGAGCGTGCGAGAGCACTGGGGAAGTGTCATATGCTTGACCTATTGTACTTTTCTCTAGGCATCCATTAGTCGCCACTGTCAAAGACTGGATAGCTGCCTCCCATTTGGCCGGTGGACCTTTGGTCTGACCCACTGTAACAATTCTTACTTGTTAAATCTCTCTATGTTTGTTACACGCATATTAAATGTAAAGAAAAAAAAATAAAATAAGGGTTTGGCATCCGCAGTCATCTCTGATGGGATCGTGAACCTGCATGAGTGTGTGTATTTGGCCATCCATGCCATCTTGCCAGGTTAAGAAGGAAATACATATGCAGCTACATATTTATCTTTGCTGTATTATGGCTTAGCACTCCACAATTATTCATTATATTGCACCTGTTTCCAGAACTCTGCAGCCATCTGTCTTACAAGTGGCAAAAAAACAAGAGTGCAGGCCGGGGCCCTCCGGATGATCACATGCTGAGGAAATGTTGCCGGCCGAGTAATGGCTCCTCTCCGAGTTGCTTCACAGCACAGTCCTCGTAAACATTAGTTTCGTGAGCTGCAGAACTGGTAGCATCTGGCTTCCCTTTGCGTTCGTGTCACACGCCTGAAATGGGGTGATGTGCAAGCCTGAACAGAAGCTGTCCTCTACCTGGGGCGTTCTCGGGCGTCTAGCATGGTGGAAAGCAATGCTGCACTGCCTTTCTCCTCTAAGCAGCTGCCTATTTCTACAAAGGTTGTAGGGACTCATTTAGTTGGGTTTGGTTTTTTGGTAAGCCGTCAGCTTCTCTGCCCCTCACCTTTAAATCAAGCCCCAATTCTAGTGATTCTTCCTTCAAAACAGCTACTGTGGCATCAGTGAGTAATCTTTTTAAATTGACTGAAAGACAAGAGTCTCCATGACAGCCTCTCTCTACCATGGTAGCAACCTACCCTGATCCTGCATGTTTATTACAATTTTCATGGGGTTAATCTCATCTATTTTAACCATGTAAAAAGTAAGCATCCGCTCTGTGTTAGCTGCCTAATCTTCTACAAACACAGGACAGGTGCTACCAAAGGATGATTCATCCTGCCCTGATGCAGGTACTTTTAGAGAGAGAAACCTGATCTCTCTCTTGGCGGATTGTGAGGAAAGCTTCTGGCTATATCTGGCTGCAGAACCCAGGAGGTCTTTGGTGCTCCTTGGTCTTGCAGCATACGCTCTTCACTCTGATACAAGCGAGAAGAGCTGTACCAAGTCAAACCACAAATCCTTTGGGGCTGTGTAACCTGTCTCTCCTGCTTCTGATACCAGACCCCTTAGTGTATGCTGGGGCCACAAATTTTGGCTTCTCTTCCACCAAATCAAGTTTCTGTTAAGATGGCACCTTGGTGCCATCAAGAAGTGCTGAGTCCTGTCCTTGGCACTGTTTGTTTTCTCTCTCCAGTTCCCATTTTCTTGATTTTTGACCATTTGGCCTTCACACTCTCTTGCCTTAATGTTTTTTTTTTTCTTCTTTATAATCACTTGATTCCTTCCTGCTTTCTTTTATCTTGGCTGCCCTTTTCCAGGGAAGATTTCAGAGCTTTATTGGGCTGGGCTACTAGGAATCACATAAACATAGCATGATATGAGGTTGGAAGGGACCTCTGGAGATCATCTAGTCCAACCCCCTGCCACAGCAGGTCCACCCAGAGCAGGTTGCACAGGAACGTGTCCAGGTGGGTTTGGAATGTCTCCAGAGATGGAGACTCCACCACCTCTCTGGGCAGCCTATTCCGGTGCTTTGCCACCCTCAAAGTGAAGAAGTTCCTCCTCATGTTGAGATGGAACTTCTTCTGTTCAAGTTTGTGCCCGTTTCCCCTTGTCCTGTCCCTGGGCACCACTGAAAAAAGACTGGCCCCAGGAAGGCAGTAGTGGAAGGTAATAGTGTCTGAAAATAGATGCCTAAACGAATGTGTAAGAACAGGCTAAGCATGAATAACACTTCCTTCAGTCACCCCAACCATTTGCAATTTGGGAACTTCCTAGATTTGCCTTTCCAGACCCTATGGGATACTGGGATGCTTGGACTCCACGTTCCCTGGTTGTCATTGGAAAGCGACCGCATTCTTGGGCCTGAAGGAGCGAGCACGATGGCAGAGCACCCCGTCGGAATGACCTGGGGAAGCTGTAGAGTCACGGAGCTGGGATGAGTTGCTGGGATGATTAGACAACAAAACCTTACGTGAAGTGATGCCGAGCCACAGGCAATATCGCTCTACATAATATGTAAATTGAAAAAAACAGGTGTTACAAAACAAGCTGTCAGTACGGTAAAGCCAAATATACCTAAGTTATGGTTCTTGTGGCCATTAATCAACCTGTGTCCGTGGACTCATTGCAGCAAAGGTGTCAGGCATCAGCTTTACTGAGGAGGCTTGTGGCAGAGCTGGGGTTGACAGCTCTCCCGGGTTCCTCAGTGCCTGAAAGCCAACGACCACCTTATTTGTCTGCTGTTCTGCCTCACCCACCATGTGCTAAATTTTGTGTGGCGAATTTAACCAGCAATGGTTCAATAGAAAACACAAAACCAAATCGCAATAAGTTGTATAAAATAACGCGAGATAAAGACAAATCAAATAAACTGTGAGGATTACTAAGCAGCTCTTCTGGCAGCTGTTTGGATAACGTGAACAAGATCATCAAGGCAATGGCTTCTGAATTTTGCTTCTGGGTGGTTATCATCCCTTCTAGAAATTACCATGCACGGCTTAAGTTCTTTCCTTTTTATAAAGCCAGGAGAATAACACATGCTATTGGCCAGTGTTAGTGACAGGATATTATTATATAAGAAAGGATTTTGACCCACCATTCTATTTTTTTTTCTGTGTGAACAAAAAACTTTTAGCAGTGATAAGAGCTGAAGGGGATTGTGCTGAGGTGGGGTCGGCTTCAGAGCTGTCTGTGGGTTTAACTTCTTTAAAAAGGATACGCTCTCGGGGGTAGGATCAATGTCTTTTCCTAATCAGACAGCAGTAACAAGTGTTACAGTTTTTGGGAACATATAATAAATCACAAAACTGATAAAAATTTAGATATAGTATGTAGACTGTTATGTGCATGCAGAGTTACTTCAGTGCTTCCTCATTTTGTAAATTAACATGAACGCCAGAATATCAGGGGCCTAACGTATAAAAAAGAAAACAACTCTGACTGCTGCTAAAATCTGCTGTTTCCCTCCAATTAGCTAGTTGGAAAATCACCATGGCTGTGAGTTTGAATATGAGCAGCAAAAACATGGAGTCATGAAAATTATCTTTGCTTTCATTCCGATACTAAAAGCAGCTTTTCTGGTGATTTTTTGCATGTTATAGTTAAAAGTAAATGTGTCTACAGATAGTACTGACTTCAAAAAACCTTTTCCTTGTGGAGTGGCTCAGCACAGAGACTCACCGGCTGCTTGTAACGCAACAAATTGTTCTTTCCACAGCCCACAATATTTATAGGCCTTTCACCATTTACAGTGATTTACTGCTCTGTTTGACCCCTCTTCCAAGGCTCAAGAGCTATGAGAAAATCAGGGGGGTTGATATCAGTTTCTTGTTTTCTCTTTACTCTTT